GTGGGGCCGGCACCCCACGGCGGGACCACGCTGGGATGGAGATGGGTAGGGGAAGGTTTGGGGGTGCCCCCGTGCTGCGGGGCCGGTGGCGGAGGAAGGGCCGGGGCAGAGAGAGCGGAGATGTGTCCCGGGAGACCCCAAAAGTGGGGGATCGCTGGGGTCTGGGTGCTGCCCAGAGCAGCCCCCCGTCCCTCCCCACGCCGCTCCTTCCCCACCCGCCCATCCTCGCATGAACCCTCTGTCTGCCTCCTCCCACCCTCCTCCTCCTCCCCGCAGCAGCCTTACCGTAAGGTCTGTGTCATGTGGCTTCTTTCATCTTTGCTCCCTGAACCCCCGCACGGCTCCGCCGACAGCCCAGCGTCACCCACACCGCGCCGGCCGGGAAGCCGAGCCATCGCCGGGCCCCGCTGCCGCACGAGCCCCCGACCAGGCGAGGGAAGGAGAAGAGCTTGGGGGGACGTACCCCTGTGGCACACACTGTCACTGTCCTCCCCACACGTCCCCATCGCCACTGGGGCTGCTCCATCCCAGCTCCCAAACATGTGCCAGACCCTGCACGGCCCCTCCTGGGCTGGGGAACCGTGGCTGTGCCAGCGCTGCCAGGCTTTGGGGGGGTCCCGGCAGGATGGGGGGTGGGCATGGAGTCTGGGGGCTGTGGGGAGCCCAGGACAAAGCAGGTCTGGCTCCCCAACATCCCCTGGCCTCGCTCCCTGCTCGGTGCCGCCAAACAGAGATCGCCCACCCGTCTGCAAGGGGGGTTGGGGCACAGTCAGGGCCCCCCTGTCCATCACCCCACTCCCCGGGCAGAGCTCGGAGGACACAGGGCGCTCTGCCTGTCCCCGCTCCTCCTCCTGCTGCCCAGGGACCTTCTCCAGCCCCGTGAACTCCTGTGTCCATCCCCGGCCGTGCAGCTGAGGAACGTGTTACCCTTTGCACTGGCCTCAGCTGAGGTCATGTTTTCGGCAGAGCTGAGCCGGGCTCTGTCAGGAGACGGGCCCCGGCCGGAGGGCCTGGGGGACCTTGCACCACCCCTCCGGCCCCTCCAGCCTCCTCGCTCCGGGCCGGTGCCAGCACAGCCTGAGCAGCTCCGTTTGGCGCGGGACGGCGCTGGATGCAGCTTTGGTCCGGGGGGACGCGGAGCAGCCCAGGTCTCATGGCCAGGGTGGGGGGAGCGGGGGGATGCCAGCAGCCAGCGCATTGCGTCCAGGGGCACCACCAGCAAGTCCCAGGGAAGGGCAGGGGCTGGCCTTGCACCCACCAGGGCAGACCTTCATCCCCTTGTCCCCACACAGCCCCCTGCACCCCCAGGGAGGGGATGGGAATGGGAGGGTTGGATTTTACCCCGGGTGACACTTAAGGCACAGGGCTTCGGTGGAGGATCCTCGTGCCCTGCGGTGGCACGGCACCTCCAGAGAGCATGTGTCCGGGGCAGGGAGCCCTGACCCAGGGACAGCGAAGGCTCTGCTGTCCTGGGGAGGGAGGGCAGAGCTGCAGCCCCCGCTGCTCCCACCCCTATCCCTCTTCCCGGCCAGCGTGACCCCTGGCTCGCTCTGCCGGCCTCGGAGCGATTGCCCATGTAAGGGCAGAAGAGCCAAGTCCCCGAGCTGGATTTCAATGAGCGAGCGGGTGGTGATGCACTCGCTCACATGCTCCGGGATGCAAGAGGAGGCCAGGGAGGGATTCTCCCTGGCTGCGAGCAGTGTTGCACAACCGCAGGGAAGGGGTCAGACCTCGCTCCACAGCAGCCAGCGCTGCCGCATCTGGAAGGGAGCAGCCGGGCTCCCCTGGGGCAGGAGGGGTCTGGGGGCCGGAGGGAAGCGGCTCGGGCTCCTTCCCCAAAGCTGGTGTATCTCGGCGCTGCCTCGAGAAGGCCTGTGGGTGCCCAGGGGCTCTGAGCCCTGCCGAGGCCACCCTGCTCCCAGAAAAGCCGTGCCGGGGGCTCCGCTTGCCCCCTGCCCCGGCAGCCCTGGGAAGCACCGTCCCGCCGGGGGCAAGGAAGAAGCGACGTGCCCACGGTGCCGCCTCAGGCGGGGGCCAAGGCTGGTTCTCAAGCAGAGCTGGGAGCAGAACTCCACCAACCAGTCTGGGGCACATGGGGCGATGGTACCCCCCACCCCCCCGCTCCCACCGAGGGAGCCGAGCCCCGGCAGCACCCACGGACAAACCAGCCCTGCCCCGGCACCCAGGGGAATCAAAGGAGCCCACGGGCCGGGCAGGGGGCTGGGGGCGGCGGGAGGAGCCGGAGCGGGGACAAAGGAGCTCTTTGGAGCTGCAGTGAATGGCAGCCTCACATCTGACCTTTCCGTCTGGGCGCTGGCTTTGTGCTGGGCCAGGCGGCTCCCGCGGCAGCAGGATTTCGGGCCAACCGTCCTCCCCCCCAAAAACCCAGGCTGCTCCATTCTCCTCAACTGCCTGGCTCCTTTAAGGAGGGAATCTCGCCTCTCTCATCAGTTCAGGCTAATTAAACTCTGCTAAACCAATTAGAGCTGCAATTTGCAACAAGACATTCAATTGAGAAGCGTTTCTCACAGAGCCCAGGGTCAGGGCACAGGCAAAAGAGCAGAGGTTTCATGTCGGCGGCGTGGGTTTGCCGGCAGGCGTCGGGCAGGTCCCTGGGTGGGTTTTGGTGGCCGTTTCCCCCTCGGAAGAAGCCATCCCGGCCCCATTACGCTCCCCCTCGCAGAGGGACTCCCGAGTTTCTCCCACGCAAGTGGAGCTGCTGCCCAAGCCCCAGCAGCGCCTGTGGGGAGCGGGGGCTGCCGGCCAGGGGTCCCCACAGCCCGAGGCGCTGCCCGGGCTCAGCTGTAGCCGTGGGGTCACGGGGATCCCCAGGGACCCACGCTGGATGCAGCAGGACCAGCTCGAGCTCCCCCGAGGGTCAGCACGGCGTGAACCCAGCGAGCGGGAGCCAAAGCTTGACCCCAGCCAGTCCCCGTCCCCACCAGCAGCCCTGGGGGCCCGTGGCGAGTGGCCGGTGTGTGCCACGTGCCAGCTCCACAGCCCCACGGCACCGGCCCCACCGCCACGGTGTGGGGCTGCCCCTCGAGGTGCGGAGCTGCTGCCGGCGGCTCCCACCCCGGGGCAGGATTTTTCTCCGCCGTGACTCCGGCGGGGTGGATGGGAGGGAGGCTCGTGGTGCTTCATCGCCAGTGCTGGGGAGGGAGCGGGGGAGCGGGCTGATCCGCACCTCGACGGCCCGGCCACACTCCACCCCCAGCGCTGACACGCAGCTTCGCCCCGCGCCCCGGGGCGGCAGCGTCACCGCTCCGTGCCTCAGTTTCCCCATCTGCTGCGGCGAGATAATGCTCCTCTGCTTGATCCTGCACTATCTCACAGGAAGGTTGCAGGGATTAGTTAGCTAATGTTTGCAAGGAGCTTTGAAGATGAAAAGCCGTGAACAAATGCCAAGAAGTGCTGAGCTGGATTCTCCGCGCCGAGTAATCGTTTCATGTTCCTGGGATACTTCCCCTGGTGCAGATGGAGGAGGAGGGCAGGGCGGGAGAGCTGGCGTGCGGGGAGGGCAGGGGGGCGGGAGGCTCCTGGCAGATCTTCCCAGGACCTGCCCCTCCACATCTGATCACCCATCCTGTTTGACTCCTCATCACACCCGGATCCCTCCCGTTCTGTGCCCGGAGAACACCCGGCCTCCCGAGGTGGCTCCTTGCCCCGTCCCTTGCCCCCCCCCCCCCCCCCCGGGGGCCCTGCCCGCGGCCCCCAAAACAAGCGGGGAGGGGAGGAAGCCGTGACTGCGCTGTTTGCACGGCGCTCGGATGCATCTGGCGAGGCCATCAGCCGGCGGCACATGGCACCGTGCGGGGGCTGAGGGCACGGCCAGCGAGCCCCCCCCTCCCCACACACCCCCCTTTCATCCCCTCGTGCTCTAACACACACGTGTGCAGCCTTTACACGCCTGTCACATCCTCCTCCACAGCATCCCCCGCATCCACCTCACCCGTGGACCACCCGGACCACAGGCAAAGTGGGGGGTTGCTCAGGCTGGCCAGGGACTGACCGGTTGCCAAGTGGCTAGCACAGCACTGGGGGGGTTGGGGGGGGGGTTGGCCACGGGCACAGCC